CTTTAAAAAGATAAGGATTAAATTGCTTTTCAATAATAGTAGGTTGACCAAATTGAACGTTTCAAAAAGTTGAAGGATGAAATTACTGTTATGTAAAAGTTGGATGATCAAATTGTGCCTTTCGAAAAGTTGAAGGATGTAATTGATGTTATATAAAAGTGGGATGACCAACTTGCACCGTTTGAAAAGTTGAAGCATGAAATTGTTGTTATATATTAGTTGGATGACCAAATTGAGCTTTTTGAAAAGTTGAAGGATGAAATCCCTTTTGTAGAAAATGTGGATGACCAAATTGAGCTTTCCCTAAAGTTGAAGGATTAAATTGCTTTTAAAAAAATGTAGGATGACCAAATTGAACGCTTCAAAAGGTTGGAGGACGAAATTTCTCTTAAACTATAGTGGGATGACCAAATTGATCTATTCGAGAATTTGAAGGACGAAAATGTTGTTATATAAAAGTCGAATGACCGAATTGAACTTTTCAAAAAGTTGAAGGTTGAATTGCTGTTATATAATAATTGAATGACCCAATTGAACTTTTCTTAAAGTTGAAGGATGAAATTGCTTTTATATAAAAGTTTGATAACCGAATTGAACTGTTCGAAAAGTTTATGGATGAAATTGCTTCTCTAGAAAAGGTGGATGACCAAATTCAACTCTTGAGAAAGTTGAAGGATGAAATCTCTTTTAAATAATACTTTGGTGATCAAATTGAGCTTTCGGGTAAGTTGAAGGATTAAATTGCTTTTAAATGATAGTTGGATTACCAAATTGAACTTTTCGAAACGTTTAAGGATTATATTGGTATTAGATGAAAGTTGGATGAACAAAGTGAACTTTTTTGAAAGTTGAAGGATGAAATTTCTATTTTATAAAAGTTGGATGACCAAACTCCTCCTTCTGAAAAGTTGAAGAATCAAATTGTTGTTACAAAAAGATGGATGACCGAATTGAGCTTTCCAAAAAGTTGAGGATGAAATTGATCTTATATCAAAGTTAGATGACCCAATTGAACTTTTCGAGAAGTTGAAGGATGAAATTGCTCTACAGAAAAGTTGGATGACCAAATTCATCATTTCGAAAAATTGAAGGATGGAATCGCTCTTACAGAAAATATGGATGACCGAATTGAAATTTCCAAAAGTTGGAGGAAAAAATTGCTCTTACACAAAGGTCGGAAGACCGAATTGAACTTTTGGGAAAGTTGAAGGATGAAATTGATCTTATATCAAAGTGAGATGACCCAATTGAACTTTTCGAGAAGTTGAAGGATGAAATTTCTATTACATAAAAGATGGATGACGAAATTGAACTTTTGGAAAAGTTGAAGGACTAAATTGCCACTTTCTATAGATAACCCACCAGAGAGGCGCTTGTTCAAGCTTCACAAATCATGCTTTCATACTTCTTCATAGAAAATATTTCAAGTGGGAAAGTATCCTAAATGAAATGTCAGAGATTCGCGGGTGCTCTTTCTGTTGCCGCTGCAAGACTAGCCGCTGTTGATGGTCGTTGCTATAGAATCGGATTGGATAAAAAACAATTATTGAATGAGGCCAAGGATGAATCGAAAAAGAAATATAGATCTGTGCTCGATCTGAATAGATGCGTCTATTCCTAGAAGTCTGGCTTCCACAGACTACAATACAAAAAAAACCTGTAGAAAAGTTGGATGACCAAATTCATCATTTTGAAAATTTGAAGGATGAAATTGCTTTTACGTAAAAGATGGATGATCAAATTGTACTTTTCAGAAAGTGGAAGGATACAAAGGTTGGATGACCAAATTGAACTTTTCAAAAAGTTGAAGGATGAAATTGCTGTTAACAAAAAGTTTGATGAACAAATTGAACTTTTGAAAAGCTGGAGGATGAAATTGCTGTTACATAATTGTTGGATGACGGAATTGAACTTTTCGAAAAGCTGAAGGATTAAATTGCTCTTATATAAAAGTTAGTTGACCAAATTGAACTTTTCGAAAAGTTGAAGGATGAAATTGCTCTTACATAAAAGTTGGATGACCAAATTTATCTTTACAGAAAGTTGAAGGATGAAATTGCTCTTATATCAAAGTTGTATGATCCAATTGTACTTTTCGAAAATTTGAAGGATGAAATTGTTGTTAAATAAAAGATGGATGACCAAGTTGATCTTTTTGAAAAGTTGAAGGATGAATTGTTGTTACACAAAATATGGATGGCCAATTGAACTTTTGGAAAACGTGAAGGATGAAATTGCTCTTATGTAAAAGTACGATGACCAAATTGAACTTCTCATAAAGCTGACGGATTACATTTCTGTTATACGAAAGTTGGATGACCAGATTTTACTTTTCGAAAAGTTCAAGGAGGAAATTACTTTTGTAGAAAAGGCGGATGACCAACTTGTACGTTTGGAAATTTGCAGGACGTCTTTGCTTTTATATGCTAGTTGGATGATCAAATTAAACTTTCGGAAAGTTTAAGAACGAAATTGTTTTTAAATAATATTTAAATGACCAAATTGACGTTTGAAAAAGTTAAGGGCTTATTCTCTTTGTGTTTTAGTTTTGTGTTTTGAGTGTCCATTTTGAGAATATTAAAAACTCTTTCTTGTTGTTATTTTAGAAAACTCTTTCTCAAAACACGAAACTCAAAAACGCATTCACTTCGAACCCTAAATTCAACTCTTATCTCTCAACACCGCCACCACTCAACCATCAACTCCATGCCACCTATGGAGGGTCAAAACACCACTTTCTAAATAATATTTAAATGACCAAATTGACGTTTGAAAAAGTTAAGGGCTTATTCTCTTTGTGTTTTAGTTTTGTGTTTTGAGTGTCCATTTTGAGAATATTAAAAACTCTTTCTTGTTGTTATTTTAGAAAACTCTTTCTCAAAACACGAAACTCAAAAACGCATTCACTTCGAACCCTAAATTCAACTCTTATCTCTCAACACCGCCACCACTCAACCATCAACTCCATGCCACCTATGGAGGGTCAAAACACCACTTTCGGCCACCATAGCCACCGGATCATAGTACCAACTTGAAGCCCGCAATGTTGTCTACAAACCCACCCAACAGTTGGCCCTAATTCCGGCTAGTCTGGCTGAAAATTCTGCTCAAAATCAGCCAGTCGACCACCGAAATTAACCACCGCCGCACCAGAATTTCTGCTCAAAATCAACCACCACGACACAACCATCAACCTAAATCAACCGCACTGCCACCTAAATCAACACCAAAAATCAACCAAAAATCAACACCACCACTGAGAAATGTAGAATCCAAAATCAACAAAAATCAATCCAAAATCAACAAAAATCAACGCCTACTTTGCCTCCACCCCAAACCGTAGTCACCGTCGAAGAGAGAGGAGATGGAGACAGGCGAACGAATCTGTCTCGACGCTGCTTTGAACTATCGCGACGCTATTGTTCACAGCAGCGTCGCCTCCCCACGCCGGCTCCGGCATCGGCACTCACCTTCATCGCCTCCCAACGCTCAGCCGACGTCCAGAAGAAGAGGAGAAACAGTGGGTTGAAGGAAAATAGAAAGGGATACGGAAGAGAGAAAGGGATACGGTTTTAAAGGATTTCTCTCTCCTGTTTTGTGCATTTTCAATCTTTTTTGGATTTTGTACAGAAAGCATCAAAAGCATCAATTTTGACGTTTTGTGTTTTCTTTACAATTTTTTTTTTCGAAAATTCGTTTTGGAAAACGGAGAAGAGAACGCGTTTTCACTATTTTCAAAAATCGAAAATAGAAAATGGATTAAAAACAGTAAAGAGAATGCAGCCTAAAGGTTTAGGGTTAAATATTTTGAGTTTAGGGTTTAGGGTTCTAATTTTAAGGTTTTTTAGGGTTTCGTTCAACTTTACAAAATTCAATTTGGTAATCCAACCATTTATCAAAAGCAATTTCATCCTTTAACTTTATGCATTTGGTCATCCAGCTATAATTAAAAAGTAATTTCATCCTTCAAGTTTTTCGAAAGTTCAATTTGGTCATCCAAAAAAATTATTTCGTCCTTCTATTTTAGAAATTTTCAATTTGGTATCCAATTATTATTTAACAGTAATTCCATCCTATAACTTTTCCACAAGTTCAATTTTGTTATCCAACTATAATTGAAAAGCAATTTCATCCTTCAACTTTTTCAAAATCTGAATATGTCCGTCCAAATAGTTCAAAAGCAATTTCATCCTTCAATTTATGAAAAGTTTGAATTTGGTCGCCAGAAATTTATCCTTCATTATTAACGTTAATTTGGTCTTCCAACTATAGTCTAAAGTGCTATTACATCCCTCAACTATTTAATAACTTCAATATGATCAACTATTATTTAAAATTAATTTCGTCCATAAACATTTGATGCAATTTCATCCTTCAATATTTTTCAAATTTTAAATTGTTCATCCAACTATATTTTTAAATGCAATTTTATCCTTCAACTATTTATTAACTTCAATTTGGTCATTCAACTATTATTTTAAAAATAATTTGATACTTCAATATTTTCAAAAGTTCAATTTGGCAATCTAACTATTGTTTAAATGCAATTTCATCCTTCAACATTTCCAAAATTTCAATTTGGCAATCATTTAATGCAGTTTCATAATTTCATCCTTCAACATTTTCAAAAGTTCAATTTGGCAATCAAACCATACATTTAATGCAATTTCATCCTTCAACTATTTATTAACTTTAATTTTGTCATCCAGCTATAATTTAACTTCAATTTCATCCTTCAACTTTTATTAAGCTTCCGTTTGGCCCCCGTTTTTTTTGTCTCATTTTGCAATATCATTTTCAACAAATGTGGGCCCCTCACTCTGAATTTCAATATAAAAATAAAAATAAAAATAAAAATAAAAAAAAGGAAAAGAACCTGAAAAATCCAATTCCCACCAAAACCATAGAAATTGGTGGAACATGGAATTTGAGGTCACGTGGGGTAAAACAGAGAAATTGAATTCCATGGAAAACTCTCCCAATCAAACAACAAAAAAGTGGAAAAATCTAAAAAAATTTCCTACTTCCATGGAAAATATTCCATATCAAACATGGCCGTAGTATATATGATACAAAATTTAAGCAAAACGTACTGTTTACTGATACAGGTAACTATGGAAACTTGTCCCTTCAACTTATTACAGAAACTATCCAAACAGTTATGAATCAGTACACAGGAGTAGCAAAAAATGGTGGAAGATCCAAATTTCTTGTCCAAAAAGGGTCTCCTTTCGCATCACAATTTGGCAAAAACATAACATTTTCTGCCTCGATGAACAAAAAGTAGAAACTCCAATGTACATTAATTCATTAATCTAAATGTATATCACTTCCTTTCTGGTGGTTTTACTTTCAGAAGCTCAATATTCAGTTCAAACGTTTCCCCTGGCTGATCAAATGAAGTAACAAAACCACAGTAAGCTCCAAAGAAGGAAAACGTCAGATGTATTCCGATAGGAGATTTATTTAATCACAAATAAAGAACAACATAGAGAGAATGTAAAAGTTCAGTTTTACATCAATGCATTTTTGAGTATATGATTCAAAATTTATATCCCCAGTTGTTAAAGGAAACGTAAAGAGTAAGGAAAGCTTTGGCAACAACTAATAAATACCAGATCATCTCTTGATTACTTCAATGGTCCAATAATACAATTGATTTTTGTCCCCATCTAAGAAGCTAAATTTTATTTATGCGGCCATTTTGTATTCAGTGCACAATGAGAATGCTGTAAAATTCTGATAAGCAGAATCTGTTAAATTATGCAATCACAGATCAACAGATACTCCAACATGACGACTTCAAAACTCATAAGTTTTTGTTATTTGATTGAACCTCGTCAGGTCTAAAACAAATTAAAAAACTTGACTAAACTCAAAGATATTGGTATTGACGTCAATCCTACTACTTGTGTGTCTAGCTGATAAAAGACTGATAGATTTCATCTAAGCTCAATCATTTTTAGCAAAATTATAATTAACTTATGATAATATTGAAGGCATTACCGGAATCTCATTCATTCCTTTTGAACCATACCCAGCCTCTGGAGGAATGATAACAGTTCTCTTACAGCAAGAAAAAATATGTTAGCTCGACTGATAATATAAAAAGGAAAGGACGGTTATCATAGACTAAGAAAACAAATGTGTAGAAAGGGACCATAGAGTTACCTTTCCCCCAACTTTCATCCCTTCAGTTATCGTATACATTGCTTTTGGAGGTTTGGGTGCAGCCTGTGCAGAGAACAGGCCATTTGGGTTGTCCACAAACTCTCGCTTCCGCTCTTTCCCAGGTAGGGCTCCAACTTGGAATTCGTAGGGCTACTTAAGTGCATAAAATTAGTATCAGTAATTTTCTGCTCATTGTATATTCCAATGTTTTTTCTGTTGTGGAATCTCATTATAACATACTAATAAAGTAAATAACCTGTGCAATTATGCGATTTCCAGCCAAGAGCTTAGATTCTCGACTAGACACTGCTGTAATACCACGATACACGCAGTCAAAATGCACCTGTTCGTGTTTCATCCAAATAAATGTCAAATTGAATCCATTATCATAAACCAGAAGGCAGTTAACTTGCACTATAGCTAACCTGCACGGTTGATCCCTTTTCAGCTACAGGACCTTTCCCTTCAAAGATATCATAATATTTAAGCCCTTCAGCTGCTATAGAAGAAAGTGTCAATAAACGCTCTTCAGTTAGTTTAATCAATTAAGTACTGTGATATTTCGGTGCTAGACACGACATCTTAAAATTCCTGTGGACAAGATAGCCTGAACAGAATGAACAGTCACTGCTTAACAGCACAGAGGCTCAGTAATAGAATTCAAAGAAATGGATAAATTAAACAAGTTGGATGACCATCCACGGTTCCACTACCAGTTCAATTTTTCGAAATATCCAGAACAATCTACGAAAAAAGAAGAAAAATGAAAAACCCATAAATCGCCTGCATTTTGAAAAAGCATACTTCCCCCAAAAAATTCCAACCTGAATCAAGAAACTCACAAGGGTTTCTATATTCCACTGCACTACATATTTCTTTAAGAATTCCTAAACAGTAGATTTCCCTCAAACAAAAGCAAAAGTTTAATTGATCAAGCATTAGCATCAGAAAAAAATGAAAAATTGTTCAAAAAACTCACGGCCAGTCATATATTCTTCAAGTGGAATGGCGTTTTTTCTGCGCCTCTCTCTAGCCAGTAATGGTTGGGGGAGTGCTGATAGGCTTAAAGGCAGCAAAGAAATCAGTATTGCAGACCTTCTTGATATGGACACTGGTAAAATTGCTTCCAACTTTGGTCGGTTTGTGGCGGGCGTCCAAGAATCGTGAGGATTATCTAATTTAAATCTTTGTAAGGACCTTATTGAAGCCATGGCCGTTGGAGAATACAGCTAACCCAAAAAAAATATTCTCTTATTTATCCAATCGGCCACTGTCATCGTGATAGCACCGCGAGGGCAAGAGCGTGGGAATTTTGGGTCCCTTTGGGCTTTAGCTTTATATTTTGGGTAAATAGCAGTGAATGTCCTCGATATTTCATTTCATTTGTAAATCCATCCTCAACTTTTTGTTGGACAAATGTGTCTATAAGCTTTGGTTCATCCAAATGGGATGAATTTCATTCATTTCAATGTTGGTAAACTCATTTGACTAAAGCATAGAACCGACAGAACGGTCGTTCTTATAATTCTAAGTTAAATTAAAAATGTAAAGAAAATGAAAATTTAGAAAAATAAATAAATAAATTTACTGGCAAAATAGGTTGATTAACTTTGAAATTGATGAAATTCATCCATTTAGATGAATGGCATTAATTTTTAAATGTTTTTTAAACTCTAATTTGTTAAATGTTGAAAACACAGTAGTCTAAAAAGGGTAGGGGATTAATTTGTAAATGAGATTAAGCAGGGTGTATTCAATTACGACTTATGAAAATTTTGATGGACTTTTTTTAAGTGATCATTTCTGCAAATTTCGTGATCTTTTCATAAATTTTTATAGAATTAGTGGAAGTTTTTTAGGCTTTTATTTTAAAACTTTTATAGACTTTTGTAAAATTCAAAATTTTTTTTAAAACTTTTATTTAAAATAAAATTTACGTGGAATTAGTGTAATAGCGTGAAATTCTCACATATGAAGTGGTGATTCCTATAATTCCTCTTTTCCTTTCCTTTTCTCTTTTCCTTTCCCTTCCTATATAATAGAAAATTATTTTTAAAAAAATAAAAATTTAATACCTTAATTAAACAAATAATAATCAAAATTATACATATGATAAAAAATTTTAATATTCAATATTATTAATATAGCCCCTATTTGTTTTCTATTTTTTCCCCATTAAAATAGAAAATATAACCGTTATCCACCAAATTTGAATTTCTATATTTTGTGTGGGTTCATAAGATTATATTTTTCATTCTCATTTTTACAAAAATAGAAAACAAATGCCTCCGTAATATATCTTTAAAGAATAAATAAAAATCAATATATTTAAATTTTAATTATAAATTAGTCTATATAAAATTTTATAATTTAATTAAAAATAGATATTCTTTACACAAAAAAAAATGAATGAAAAAAGAATAAAAAAGTTATGAAAATCCAATTTATTTTTTTTCATAAAAAATAAAGACAAACAATAAGAGAGAGAAATAGAAAAATAGAAACAAATATAATTAATAGAAAAAATTAAATTTTAATCATAACTCTCATATTCATAGAAGGGAAATAAAAAAGAAAATACATATTAATTTCTTTCTTTCTTTCTTTTTTCTTTTTTTATAGTGACAGTCTACCAAAATTTTCTGATTAATGAGAGATAAATTTTAAAATTTTATTTTAGTACTTTTTGCTTAAAAATTAGTACTCTAAATATTTTTATAAAAGTCTCTAAAAGTATTAAAATTTGAATACCGTAATACTTATAGACACTTCTAAAAAGTTTTAATTAAATATATAGTGACTTTTAGAGGTTTTTTAAAAATCTATAAAAAAATTCAATTAAATATACTTTTAGAGAGTCTCGAATAATCTACATTGAATATTTCTAAATTTTTTAAATCTCCGAAATTACCGGCCCCCCCCCCCCAACCCCCCTCATCTTATACTATCATTTATTTCTAATTTTAAATTTTAAATTTAAATCATATTTTAAAATAGTAAATAAAATTAAATAAATAAATAAACAGGATGATAAAATACGATTTTTCAATCCTCACCTTATCCTGACTCCTGAAAATCCCAACGATGCCCGAATTTTTATGGCCTTCCCTTCCAAGCTTGATCTATTGTCGTGCGTAGAGTGCTCGACGAGCTGGCTCATGAAAGCTTAATCCATGGGGCTTGAGCCATTTTTAAATGAGTTGAGCTTGGTTTTCAGCTCACTCAACTTAGGATCTGAGGCTTCTTAAGTTGACCTAAAGGTAGGGTAGTGAGCTTTTTAATGTCATATTTAATATTTTTGTATATTTCTATAAATTCTATTTTTGAAAAAATACGAAAATTTGTGGGCAAAGAATGGTGTGGGATATGGGTCAATAAGTCGACACAAGATCAGCTCGGCTCATCGCCACCTAGAGACAATAACAAGAAATCATGAGTTCATAAGGGCATTTTTGGGTTTAAAAGATAAGAAAGATGCCAAGATTAAACATGTGCAAAATGGTCTTCTTTTTTTTTTTTTTAATTGAAGTGGGATTAGAGTTGTAGAAATAGGATGGCTACTCTTTGTAGAAGTTCTTTAGACTAGAACAGGGGTTGTGTAGGAGAAATCAACGTGTATTTGGTGATATTTTTTTTCAACGGCTCATGGACAGAAAGTGTGCGTAGATGATGTCGAAGGTGTTTTTGGAGCCTACACTTGTTTCATTGTGTCCTTCTTGTACAAGCTGCATTGAATTGGACCATGGCTATTTAGGAGGGCTTTTGGTACAAGGCCGATTTTTGTTAGGTTTGTGAGGATGATAACACACTTTTTATTCGATGGTTCAAGGACGTAGTCGGAGGAATTATTATCCACTCTTAACACTATTTAGAGCTCAACTATCTCATTTTCCCAAGATCTTGTCTGCCTATCACAACCCATTGATCTATAAGATCTGAAGTTATACCCAGGTTGGTGACAGAGGTAGATAATATGGTGCTTAGCCAATATCCTTATTTAGATGAGGTGGAGAAGCGGTTTTTAGTATCAATACCAACAGTGTGGTAGGCTCGATGGTTTCTTTTCCTTTTTATGAACAATGCTGGGGGTTTATTCAAGATTATGTATTCTAGATAGCCTTGATTTGTAATACCAAAAAAATACGTACAATATATTAAGAGACATAAATACAAGTTTTGAGATTTTAGGCTAACCTAGCAATTTTACCATTTTCTAGGGACCTTGTGTTAATAATCATAATAATTGGATATGTATGAGTTTTATACGAAATTAATTTTTATTTTATTTGGATATTTATTAAATTATTATTGAATTATCCGATATAAAAATATTTATATAGAACTTGAAATTTGCGTATATCCATATCGAAATCTTATTATTATGTAGTTATAATTTTTTAAATTTGAATTTCATGATAAATTTATTTGTTGAAGCCAATCTTAATTTGAATTAAGAGTCCTATTAGAATTCTAATTAGGCAACTATCCTTAGCAAATCACACTTATAAATACTCTCTTGTTGTGCATTTCAATTCACACAAATTCGTAGAGAAGAAAGAATAGAGAAAGAGAGAAAGGAGAGGGGGAGAGAGAGGAAAAAATGTGAGAAAGAGGAAAAAATGGGGAGAGAGAAGAAAGCAAAAGAAAGGAAAATGAAAGAAAAGAAAAGACTTTCTAGCACATTTGAAATTCGTTCGCAAGAATTTTCAGTCCTAAGTAGCTCAAATACAAAAGGAATTTAACGAATTAGGTATGAATTCTATAAATGCCAATGGAGGTGTCCTCAATTGAGATTGTGATATATTTTAAAAGTCATTCTAAAATTAGGTATCTTCAATTGAGATTTTAATGGATTTTAATGAAATCCATTAAAATTTAGGTATCCCAAATTGAGATTTTAATAAAATTTAATGAAATTCTTTAAAATCTAAGTGTCCTAAATAATTAGTGGATTTATAAAAAGTTCATCAATAGAAGGTTTTAAAATATTTGGATGGATTTCAAGCTTAAAAGTACATATTACCAAATCTTTTGAAATTTCACCATATTTGATAAGATTCCTATGAAATTTGTAAGAATCTATTCAAACCCACTAAATTCATTAAAATCTTAGTTAAGAACACTCCGCAAGTGATTTTGTGTTTTTACTTTTTAATGTTTTAAGTTAAGTATTCTACGTGCTGTTATGTGATCCAAATTAAAGATACCATATGACTTTATTAGGTAGATCTATACGAAAACCAGTCACAGGGCTAAATACCCTAAGTGGACATTGAGAATAGGTATGACTTAAGTGAGAATGAGATGGTCATATATCTATCCCACTAGAAAATTATGTTATGTGAGTATTTTACTTGCTTTTTATATTAAATTGTGAAAATAGCGGTATGAAATCTATACTATATATATATATATATCCATTTCTAAAATTATTTTTACAGATATTTGATGGATCGGAGTTGGAAGTTGAAACTGCTAATAGAGTCTCTGTCGTTAGATCAATAATTTTTTTCTTTTAATATTTAGTATTTAGTTATAAAAACGTTTTTTTTTCAAATTAGAAATGTTATGTTCAAAATAGATATTGAATTCTTTTTTTAAAAAAAAATAGGTGCTGAATTTATATTACATTAGTGGATAAAGTTAATTGACGTTTTTATGAGACAATAAAAAAGTTTATTTTATCCCACAAAGTTTTTTGTGTTACAATATGAGTAAATTCACTTTTCTTGCAGATAAAGAAATTAATTAAGTAACCTTCAGGACATAGATTTTAGGACATTACAACATGGTATCAAAGCCCAATCAATCTTTCCTGCATATTTTGTGAACTTAAAATTTTAAATTTCTTTACATGTTAAAGTTTTATATGAATTTTGATCCACACAACATCGGGACTATCATGATCAACCTTTAACCAACTATCTAAGGTATGAAATTACTTTAGTTTAAAGTTAACAAGTGATTGCTTAAACGTGATATATCCTCTTTGTAGAAAGTTAAATTGTTATATTTTACAGAAAATTCAACGCGATATTTATTTCCATAGAGCTATGATGAGAATTAGTAAAATAATTGAGTGAATTAGAGATTAGGTAAAAAAAAAAAATCGAAATATTTATTGTTTGAGTTTTCTTGATTTGCATAGTCACAAGACTGTAGAGTTTTGTCAAAAAAATCTAAATCGTTTAAGGCAAGTTTGAGATTTAAGTGGTTTACTTGTGATCCTCCACCTTACTTGGAAACCTTTTTCAGTTCCGTGTTATTAAATCAACATGATGAAA